ATTNAACAACGGCCACTGACAGGAACAGAAAAAAAATGATGGTTGTTTAGAGGGCCGTTATTGCAGTTCAACTGTATAAATCTATGTAGTATACAGTAAAACCTGTCCAAAAAGGAACCTTTATAAAACGGAAACCTGCCTAAACGGGAAAATTCTTAGGAACACAGAGATTTTCTGTGTTAAGTGAAATATACACAAAAACCTGTGTAAACCGGAATAACCTCCGGTTTACATAGGTTTTACTGTATATTCTTTAATTTCCAATGCAATTATTGTGCCATAATTCTATCCTGTATTTAAATAAGAAAGATAATTAGAAAGTAAAGTAGTTTTTTTTTACTACTCCTTTATAAACTGAAAATAATATCTCTCTACAAATATAGCCTATCTTCTCTCTCTCTCTCTCTCCCTCCCTCTTCCTATGCTGTATTAATGAGTTAAATATATATATATTTAACTCATTAAAAAGGATTAAAGAAAGGATAAGTTCTAGTTGTTAGGCTGTAAACCGATATTTATATTAAAAAGTTTAAAAAAAATAGCCAAGAAAAGAATTCTTTCTTGGTTATTTACCAGAGTATAAATAACAGAGTTAAGATAGTTTATCAGGGAAATTTAAAATCATAACAGTTTTAATAACGAGATAAATTCAACGTAAGCTTCATTTATTTGAATGAATTTATTATTAATTACATCTTATATTTAAATTTAAAAGAGAATTTCTTGTTATTAAAAGTTTATAAGTATTTTTTTTTCAGAAGGAAAAAAACTTTATATAAAATTTAATAACAGTTTTAATAAAATTCGAACTTTAATTTTTTCAGGAATAAATTTGTTAACTCTTCTTAATTACGTTCTTTCATCTGACATAAAGTAAAAAAAAAAAAAATTATGCTGACATCAAAGCTGTTTAGCTCTTTCATTACATATAAAAGGAGAAGAAAAAAAAAAGCAAATATCAATCAGATTAAATAAATCAAATTTTCTACTAATCAAATCTTAATCTCTAGTAGATTTTCGTTAATCCCTTTCTAATCTTAGTTTTCTAAATCTTTTCTTAATCTAATTTTCTAGAATTTCTGCTTATTTCGAAGATTTTTTTCTCCACATTTCTAGAATTTCTGCTTATTTAAAAGAAAGAAGAAAAAAAAAATGAAGACACGATTAGTTTAATCCCTAGATTAAGAATTTTAAACATTTCATCTTTCTTCAGCAAAAATATTACTTTTGCATTCTTAGTAACAGAATGAAATTTTTAATATATTTATAACTTTAAAATGTTGTTTAAAAAATATATATTTTTTTGATTTATTAAAAAAAAACTTAATTTTAATATAAAAATTATTCTCGAAACTTGGCTTCGATTCTATTTTATATGGAATAAAACATACTAAAAGTTAAAAAATCATCATTCGTCTTCCATTTAAAGAAGAATATAGAAAGGAAAAATAAAGTATAAAAAAAAATAAAGAAGAATCTAATAGAATTTTTATACTGTTAAAGAAATAAATCACAAGAAGTAAAGGTTTAACTTATCGATCATATAAATCAGAAAATAACGATTGATCTTTTGAAAGCGATCGTTAAAACAAAATGACAAACAAAACTTTTAATTAACTGTATAGATATTAAAGCTATTTAACTCCTATAATAACTTTTGTAAACTTTGAAAAAAAAGAAGATAAGAAATAAAGAAGAAAGAAACAGAAGAGATAAATGATTTTGGTTTTTAGAACTATCGATAATGTTGGTCCAGCAATTTCACAAATCAAAACTGATGGACTTGAAAGGTAATCCAAGCGCATTATCCCTTATAGAGTATTCAACAAGATTAATTATTCAGGTATGACAGTAGCTTCTAGCAAAAACTCGCATCTGCAAAGTAAAGCACGGTTTCTAGCAACAAACTGCAGCAATGATGTTATAAATAAACTAAAGCATCGACTGTAGAAGCAAACGGAAGCATCATCTCTATAAAATAAGAATTACCCCCTTATAAATAAGCTACAACATCATCTGTATGAACAAACGAATTCATCTATAAGATGAGATAAAAGCATTATCAGTTTAAATAATGCATACTATCATCTGTATGAACAAACAAAGCGATATCTGTATAAAGAAAATATCAGTTATCATCTAACACTAATAAAATAAAGCATCATTTATGCTACGAAACAGAAGCATTATCCTTACACGTGTGATCTGAATTGTTATGATATGTATCAAGAAACAAGAGTATCATCTGTATGATTCCTTAACATCATCATCATCATCATCATCATCATCATCATCATCATCATCATCATCATCATTGAATATTATGAAATAGAAGAATTATTTACATAAAGTTTGATTTTTAGTATCATCAATATTGAGAAAGGAAAGCACTTTAACATCATCCAATCTGATATATACAGGAGTGCTATTTATATAAATAGCACTCTTGTAAATAAAATATTTTCTTCTCAAATAAACAAAAACATTATCTGAATGAACAAAATACGTTTTCCCTTATTACATAAATAATAGCTAAGTGTATTGATAATACATTATTTAAATTTATATTGTTTTTATTTGTTTATTCTCTATGATAAAAGTAAAATTCTTTTAAAAGTTTCAAACGATAATGCACAAATAAATCATAAACTTGGTTTACATAACTCTCAACAAGAAAATATATAACTTTTTTTTTAAATAATAAATAAGCAAAAATATTATTAACATCTTCAATATAATCTGAAACACAGCACATCATATAAATAAATTTGATGATGATAAATTATTTTATAGATCGATAAAATCTGCAAAAATTTATCATTAAAGGATAATCTTGATAATGATAAATTTTTATTTGATGGCTTCCATGATGATAAATACATTTTATTTATTCATCATCAAACAAAAATCTATTTTCCTCTACCTAATCTCACTCTTGCAGGAATCCATTACTTTTCTATTAAATAAAAAAGTATCATCATCATCATCTTCATCATCATCATCGATTATAATAATAACGAGTTAAAACAGTATATCACTATCACAAATTAACACTTCATTACAACGGAAATAAAAATTAAAATCACTCATTTATTCGATTAATTAAAGGTAAAATTTTATTTTAAATAATTAAAAATTAAAATGGCTGAAAGTACTTAATGATAGGATTAATTAAGTGCAAATGTTTCTTAATTGGTCCAAGTAGGAGTAAAATCCGAAGTAATTTGTAAAAATGCTAGTAAATTTCATAATATTACTAATAAAAATTTTTATTATTTGGTATAGAACTCATTGAAACTTTGCCCTCCTTTATTTGTTAGATCGAAAAATCGATAAGTAGTGATGATATTAGTATTAATATTCATTCACTCCTTACGCTTATAACCTTAGTCAATAAAATCCTGTTCCTTCTTGTAATTTAAAAAGAGATAATATAGTTTCTGCAGCTGGATCTTTTCCTTTTTTCCCAGCTGCCGAAGTAATAAAACGTTCAAAATGTTTTGTTTGCTCGAAAGAGGTAAAAATATTCTCAGGAAAAATAAAATAAAATTCTATGATATTGGATATTAATTATTTAAACTTTATATTGCAATATGTTTTTCAGAATTTTAAAGAAAAAAAATATATATATATATATATTTATTGTTGTATGAAGAATTTTAACATTACGAAAGATATCTATAGCTCACTTCACTTTTAATAATATATATATAACAATTTCTTCAAGTTTAGGAACTACTAAACGGTCATAAATTTGAAACTTTCTATTTTCTTTTCTCTCTGATACAATAAGAGTGACTTCCTTTGAATGAATAATGATAGGGAAATCACTTGTTACTATATTTAAACGAGTATTTTTCTCGGTTTGAATTCCAATAAGGGTTTTTGATTAAAGTTAAAATCGTATTGCAAACCAACGTCTCATTCCACACAGATTAGGGCATTAGTCACCGAAATCCATTAGGAAAATGCAACCATTCAATGGAAAATGTTCCCAGTTCTAAAGCTGTTATTAACATTGGAAAAGAATCTTTAACATTGATGTTCTCATTGAAGTAGATCTATCTGGGTTAATTTCTTTTTTCTAATATTTTCTAATTAGTTCTATCATGAAAGAATTTATTGATTACGTTAATTTTTACATGTCGAAAACGTAGATTTCTTAAAATATATATTTTTTGGGGGGGAGATAAGTACTGTATTGGAATTCTTTGTGATAATAAAGTATTGAGTAGAAATTCCTTGAATCTATTTAAAATAATAATAATAATAATAATTCTTTGGGTCGTGAAGAATGATCACTGTACTTTTTTAAATATGAAAAATTTAATTATAGAGGATAGAGTTTTGAAACAATAACACACACTTAAAAATGAGTTTTAAAGTTATCATAATTACATATTTAAGAAGGAATCAGTATCTACCAATCATATTAATTTAAATTTATTTATTACTTGCCGTTATATTTATATAATTATAGAAAAAGTTAAGAAAACATTATATTGATCCGGATGAAATTAAAACTTTTGATATTGCTAGATTGATATTTTTCTATATATTTTTCTTTTTACATCTTTTGTCCCGTTCTGCTACACGATTCCATTCCTGATTAAATTCTCTTCCGAAGGCGAACGAAAAAATAAAATAAAATAAAAAGAGAAGAAGGAGAAAAAATGAATTCCAAATGAATATTTTTACTCATTTAAGCCATAATTACGAATCTGTAACGTCTGACTATTTTTATTTACATATAAGTTTTTTTATTTTTTTAATTTTACTTGTAAATCCAAGTGATATCAGTGAGAATTTTCGTGTAGGAAACAATCACGACATTCCAAGTTTACTAATTAAGCAATAAAATCATTCGATCCATTCAAACATCTTGAAGTATAAATGAACTTCGGATAGAATTAATTCGAGACAGTCATTCAAAGCTAATTGAAATAATTTGTATACTGGATTATTTAAACATAAAGCTAATTTATTTTAAATGTTTTCAGTTAAGGAAGGCAAATCCAAATTACCTGTCATGGTGTACATCCACGGCGAATCTTACGAATGGAATTCTGGGAATCCATACGATGGTAGCATCCTGGCTAGTTTTGGATCTGTCGTAGTAGTCACAATCAATTTTCGTTTAGGAGTTTTGGGTAAGTTATTTATTAAAAAAAAGTCTATCAAGAAAATAAAATTAATTTAATTATTTCTTAGATAATATATATTACGATAAAATTAAAGTTTTGAGAAATTTTACATAGCATAAACAATTCGTTTATTATTTTACGTCCACTGTTTTTTATTAGAGATATTAACACGATAGATTTTATTAGGAATTGGCATGAAAATGATTAGCTTAAAAATTATTGGTTAGAAAAACTGTCAGAAGGAAATGTACATCCGCCCACTTTTATAAATCCACCAATTATCGTCGAGAAAATTACATCTCTTAAAATTTGAAACAGGTTAAAAAATGTATCTTACATTTATCACAAAGGACTGCTTATATATTTATAAGAAATTTTTTTTACTTCATTTCGTTCCCAGTACACTTGCCAGAGGTATTGTTTTGCGTAAAGTTTATCTTAAGAGATGATTACCTCTAGACGAAAAATTATATATATATACAAATATTTTTTCTTTTTAGATAAGACGAACTAAATAGAAACTATATCATCTTTCTTATATACCTGACCCTTCGTTACTTTGAATATCAAAACAATCTGCAATTCTAAGTTAACTTATCCAGAAAAAATGATCAGCAGGGAATAAGAGATTTCCCAAAGACATTGACTGACTATTTTTTTTTTCTTTTTTGGAAGTTTCAAGTAAAGTTTCGACAGAATAAATTTGCTTCTCAAAAAGTGTTATTTACAAAACTAGGACAGTATCTGTCAACAATAGCCAAACGCAACTGCAAGTGACATATTGATCGCGTGTAATATAACATAGGAAGGATGTTAAAATAAACTCTACCGCGTATAAATTACGTAAGATTATTCCTGTAGTAGCAAAAAGGAATCAGATAGTAATCACGAAAACTGACGAGCAAATTGAAAAAGATACTGAGAGAAGAATTTTTTATTTTTTTTTTAAATTTGTTTTTTATTTATTTCGTTTGGAAATTAATTTACTTTCGCCTGGATTAAGTCACGATTTATGCTAGAAATGCAAATCTTTCGGCTCGCAACTTTCCCTTTCTCATAACTAAATATGAATTTGAATAATGTGAAGTTCTATATTTAAAGAAATTTTTAACCTTTCTGTTACTAAATCGATAACTTGCTTCGAGCGATTTATCCAGTATAAGAAATTGAAACGCTATTCACTTCGCATCTAACTTACAAAGGAAGGTTGGCTTATGCATTCAACATCCATTCTATAGTAGCCAGAATTGAATTGCGATCCAGTGGACCGATAATTTTAGAGAATGTGGCATCGTTTCAGGTTAGCTAGCAATATATTTAAGATTTATTCAACCATAATGAGAAGAAATGCTTGACAGATTGATGTACTATTTCTCACTTACATAATATAATGCTAGTCTAAAAGCTAAAGTTTGATTCAATTTACGTTTTTGAATTTTTTGAGAAGTTCGCTAGAAGTCAAAAGTTTATAGTCTTATCATATTTTTTTTTCTTAACATTTTTCGATATATTTAATAAAGTTTCGATAGAATTTATCCAATAAGTATCACCGACACAGGGTTCCTTCCTGCCTTAGACAGTACTTCTCGTGGGAACTACGGTCTTATGGATCAGGTGGCCGCACTTCATTGGATTCAAGAAAATATTGGAGGATTTGGTGGCGATAACAGTAATGTGACCATATTTGGCCACGGGCACGGCGCAGCTTGCGTTAATCTATTGATGATATCACCTATGACAAAAGGTTAGATATCTTTCTTTTCAAAATATTAATAACGGTTCGAGATATCTGTAAGAGTTGTATAAATGTTTTTAGGTCTGTTCCAGAGAGCAATCATGCAAAGTGGATCAGCATTAAGCCCATGGGCGGTCGCTACAGAGGCTCATACGTATACTAAGTTCTTAGTAAAACAGTTAGGATGTCCAATGGAAGAGAAAAGGACTCTTTTAGAATGTTTAAGACAAAGACCTATAGCAGATATTATGCAAAGTACGTTCATTGTACCCGATCACTTGACATCGTTTGGACCTACTGTTGATGGTGTGGTGGTACCTAGCGTACCGATTGCTAGTATGTCGTCTCCAGGAAATTTATATGGTCAGTACGATATGATGGCTGGTGTGTGTCGAATAGAATGGTATTTTGGGTTCTCCTCTACAGAGGAGCGATCGGGAATCGATACCAAAAGACGAGACAGAATACTACGAACGTTAGTAAGGAATCTTTTTAGTTATCATCTACAGGAGATATTTTTAACAATCGTTAATGAATACACCGATTGGACAAAACCTAAACAAGAACCTATGGACACGTTATTATCCACAGCTGATGCCATGAGCGATGCTCTGATTGTTTCGTCACTATCCGAAACTGTTAATTTTCACTCGTCAGGAATAGGTAGAACATTTTATTACGTCTTCACTCATCAGACAGAGAAAGGAGATTACTATAACGATTCGGGTTGTATCCATGGAGAAGAAGTTCCTTATATTTTTGGTGCTCCACTCGTGGGAAATCTTGCTCATTTCAAGTCCGATTATAGTCGCTCGGAAGTGACATTATCGGAGACTGTTATGTCATATTGGACTAATTTCGCCAAAACTGGGTAAGGTTATAAATATAGAACTCGTTTAAAGTTGATTTATTACATTATTATGTTTACTTTCAGAGACGTTAATGGAGATGCTCAAGAATACTCGAGCGATAAAGGCAAAGGACCTTTATATTGGCCTCAGTATAAAGATCTACAACAGAAATATATGTCATTAGGTGAGTAAAAATGCTTTTAAAGTTAAGTATTAATAAAGAAACACTGTCTACTTAAGTGTTAATTGACACGTTGACAGGAAAGCTCAAAAAAGTCTTTCTGAAAAAGCAATTAATTTATATATTTTTTAATGGTAAGGTAATCACATTTTTTCCCCTTTTCGCCAGCGTATTTTATATTTCAAGCTGTTTTTACTTAAACATAATTAATGTTGTTGCTCATAAATAAAATAAAAATTTAATTTTATTTAACATCAAAATCTTTAATGAATTTCGATCACCAAGAATTAAAAATAATAAAAGTATTTTATTTTTTTTAAACCTAAAAAGTACTTTAATACTAAAGTTAAAAAACAATTTTAATTAATAGTTTCTTTAATGGGCGTCAAAAAAACACTTTCTATAAAGTTTTATTCTAGAATATTTTGATGTTGATGAACCTATTGATTCTATTTATTGACCCTTCCATTCTGTTGTACTTTATTGCCCGAAGAATAAAATGAGAATATGGAACTGCTGATACTTTATTCTTTCTGACGATACTTTGAGTTTAAGAGCTTTTTTTACGTGAAAACAGTGACTTTGTGCACACATCAACACCGAAACTATGTTATGTCCAATCGAATGCTGAGATTGCAGATACATACATCAAAAACATATGTGTACCGTTTTATAAGAGTTATAAAAGCATTAAAATGAGAAAACACAGGAAAAGTATAACTTTTTTTCTAGTATAAAATCAATAAATTTTATTAAAACTAAATAATTTTAATGTAGTATTTTTAGATAGAAAATCCTAAGATAAGAAAAATGTAATGTGTATTTTCTAACAGTAAATTTTAATGTTAGTAAATTCTTTATAAACATTTAAAATTGAATATATATATCCTGAATATTTTAAAGTTTATTTCTTAATTTAAATTATAATCATTCACAGTTTTCCCTTTTTTTAAAGTTTTATATAAAAACAGTGAGTTTATATACACATCTGTATTGGAGCTATTCAATTCGAAGATGATATTAAAGATATTGATAGCCTATACTTATCAGAAACACATTTCTATATTTTTACAGTTAAAAATATTAAAATACGATCAATAAATTTATTTAAATGTGCATAATGTAGGAATTTTAGTCGCTCGATAGAAAGTTATAGAAGAAGAAGAAGAAGAAAACTGCAAAAAGTAGAATTTTCAGTTGAATAAGGATAAATTTTTACGTCCAAAATATTAAATAACGTTATCGTTATTAAATTTTGCAATTGTTTTAAACTTTTTCAATTTAAACTCTAACAATTTTGTCAAATTACGATCTCCTAGAGCTTTGTTTTCATGAAGAAACGATGATTTTTGTATGCATCAATACGAATTACTCCATTCATTCTCACGCTTAAATTGAACATAAACAAAATGTTAAATAAAAAAAGAATAAAAATACAGAATTTGATAAGAGTTATAAAACAGTTAAAACAGAAAAATCAGAAAGTTTTATTATGTATATTAATGAATTTTATTCGAAATTACATTGAACTTTCTCTCAGCTTAAGAATTCCCAATAGAGGGGGGAATAATAATAAATGAAAGATCGAATTTTTAGTAAAAGTAGAAAGCTCGAAACTTAAAAACTTTTTTATTTTCTTTTTTTTTTTATCGAAACTCTAACAATTTGAACTGTTTAGTCGTAATTTATGAGGAATTATGATCTATAATAAGCAGAAAGAACAAGAGCTTGTTTATTATTTCAGGATTTCGTACAGAAATGAAGCGGCTTATCAAAATCAATATTGCTGTTCGGAATAAAATAATGAAATATTCAAGTTTATGAGAAGTAGTCAAAAATGGGGGGATAGAAACAGAGAAAATTTAACAAGTTTTTCTTTCTTTTAACTTAATATATTATTCTCTCTAAATGCAGAGAACTAGACGGATTTAATTTATTTGTCCTCTTCTTTCCGGGAATGATATTACATGTCGTCTTTTCTGAAAACAGATGATTTGGTTCTGTTTGAATTCCTTGCAGTTGTAAATGTAATTACATTGCAGTTGCTACTTCATTATTGTTAATTGACTGAAACGTGGCAAAATAATATATTAACAGACATTAAATATCAGTTGTCATTGTTTGTCGCCTGATAAATACCACCATTGCTTAATGTACGGTTAGACAAACTGCGTTAAACTCATTATTGAATAGTGTGAATGGATATCGATAATTAGTGTTTAATTTACGGAAAAATAATTTAATGTATCAGCTATTTTTATGGCTACGTTGATACGATCTTCTTTGTTTTACAGCATGGAATATTTTTAACTTTTCATCTTCACGTCGTTTTCCCTTCAATTTTTAACTATGGCATTGTTATAGAAATGGTGTAGAAGCGACTAAAATGACCTTTACCTTTATAAAATTATCCTGTAAAATAAATTACTAACGTTATTGTTAGTTATCGATAAGGATGATCATTAGAAAAATGATAGGTGTTCATATAATGTATTATCCTGGATGTAAAAATATAAGCTATATATATATAAAGAAAAGGGGAACCTTAGAAACGGTGAGAATAGATAGATAATAATACATGGCAATATTTTTCTCTCTTCATAAATCTGTTCGCACAAGTGGAATATACTACTATTTATGATCCTATTTCTTAGATACAAAAAATCTAGAATATTGAAATAATATTATTTCGATTCCTGTATTTTTTTTTACTTATTTATTTATTTCGTGTGGCTCCAAGTCAATACAGATCGAATTGTTAAAATCGGTCCACTTCTTTTCTATTTTCCAAGGCAATTTACATTTTGTTAAATATGCAAAATTCCCCTGTTTAGCTATTCAATTTATTAGAATTGTAAATTGTTGTATCTTCTACGTTTAAAAAAATCGAAAGTTTTAAGAATATATATATATATGTTTAAGCCTTATATAAATCTCTGTTTGACATATGATTTGTATAGGCTACTTCTTGATTTAACTTATGCATATTTTTCTTACTTCGATAAGAAGGGGGTAAAAAAAATTGATAATTCGTTTCGAATTCTTTACAATGCACAAAGAAACGAAAACAATATTCAGTATTTTTGCGACTCAGCTTTGTTTTCTTTCTTTTCTCCACCTTCTGAGATTTTTAAATCGATAAAATTATAAAATGTTTATAAAATATATAAAGTTTTAAAATCATTATTATTAAAATTTAATATTAATTATTGCTCACATTTCTTATTGTAAAGTAGAAAAAGAATTCAAAGTGAATATTTCTGTATTGCAGAAGGAAAAAGATATATATAGGCCTATATATATTAAATTCCTTCTGAATATAAAAATCTTTCAGATATCTAAATTCAAACATTGACACATCAAAGATTCAAACTTCAACTGTAGAAGTCGAAAGTAAAATAGTAAAAGGAAGAGCTATGTTTAAGTAGCTAGATCACGAATTTTCAAAGCTAACGATATGCAAATACGCCATTAATTCGGGATTGTGTCTAGTTTGTTTAGAAGTAACTAAACTTAAAAACATTTTCTTATTTTTCTCATACATTTTTTTTAATTTTAATTTTAATTTTTATTTTCCAGCAACAAAATCAAAAGTTCGGGATCACTACCACGCTCACCGTTTATCATTTTGGCTATCGTTAATTCCAAAATTGCATAAAGCTAGTGGATCCGAACCTCAGCATCATTTGCTAGAGGATCACGACAATCAAGAAACATACGATGGCATAGTGAGACGTGCACCATCGGATGATACAGTACGCTCTCCTGGTAGCACAGATGCAACACCAACTGTCAGTTATTACGTGCCAAGCAGTCCAGCAACAGAAACGAGTTACTCAGTATTGGAAACAAGTACAGAGAGCTTGACGAGTGGAAATCCTGTCTCCGATTCTATTGCAGTAACAAGTGAACCAACTCGCTATACGACTGCTTTGAGTGTCACAATTGCTATCGGTTGTTCTCTTCTTATCTTAAATGTTCTTATTTTTGCTGGCGTGTATTACCAAAGAGACAAAAGAGAAGCTTGTAGCGACAAAATGACGTGTGGCGTAGGAAGTTGACAACTTTTCGGCAAAATCCTACTTTGAACAGATGTGAAGTTGACAGATGTCATACTATGTAGCGAATAAATCGGATGGTGAAAAACTAGAGTTACTCTTCTTCTTCCTTTTTTTTTTTATCTTTATTTTTTATTTTCTCGACTACATAATTTTTTTACATATATATTTTTTCCTTCTTTATTTTTTATACTAATATTCTACTGTACATTAGAAAGAAATCAAAAATTCCTTTACAAGAAAAAAAAAAAAAGAAAACGTGCATAAATCCGAGAGGAAAGGAAAATCTGTTTGTTTGGATATTTTTGTGTATTTTTTTTTGTAAGAAAATACAAAATACAAAAAAATACACATTATTAGAATGTTAAAAATATATTTTGAATTTAAAAAAAATTTCGGAATTTTTAAAAGAAATTATAAAGTATTTTTTTAATATTAAGTTTACTCAAAATTTAATTAAAAATTGTAATTAAATTAAACAATAATTTAATTCCTTTTCGACAAATTTTAAATGGAAATTTAAAAAAAACAGTATATATTTTAGCGACATTATTATTATTAGTCTATTATTATTTAACTAAAATTGCGGATTAATTCGGAACCTTTTGTAGATAATTAATTATAATTTTAATAAATTAAAATTACAAATTATTAACACTATAACTATAAAGCATTAGTTAATTTAGTAAATTTAATTGTTAAATAAGAAATTAATATAGTGTGACATTAGGAAGATTGTTTTATAGAAACTAAAACAAAAAACAAAGTTTTTTTTTACCAGTGTACAGTACAATGTACAAAATTCATATTAAGTATTTTATGGATGAAAATACAAAAGGGAAAAAAATGATACGTTAGGTGTAATTTGTCATTCGGACGTAAAAATCCACAGCACAAAACATTCATAAGAGAAAACAAAGCTCATACAGAAGAGAGAGAGAAGCTGGAACATAGTTACAAATTTATAAAAGTGATTTATATTCATCTCTAAGAAAGGAAAGCTGACAATAATTTTATTATATTAATCTTATCATTTTAAATATCTAAACAAACAAGCAGCAAACAAACTCTTTAATTAAACACGTAAATCATTCAACTTAAAAGATTTGAAAAATCGTTTAACAACCTAAAATAAGCGATTGAATGCGGTCCGTGTTCAAACTTTGTGATCATTTGGTAACAAGACAATAGTCATTATCTGGTAGCGTAAGATACGACACTTTACTCGTAGTCAGTCAACAAGCGCATTGCTTAGCTACTCTTGTTAGCCTGGCAGATCTATTATCTTAATGGTTCTCTATATTTACATACTGCCTATGGCTCACTTCTATGCTCAGTCTTGTTGTGTTCCCCGCGGGAGTCATCATCTATGGCAAACATTTCTGGGCAAACACACTGTATGTTACTCAGGTGGATGAACTACCGAGTTTTATTGCAAATCCCGTCTCGAATTGAAAGAATATTGTAGAAGGAATTTCTTTCTTTTTTTTTAATTTTCTTTTTTCTAGTTTTTCTTCCTTTTTTCTAAATGACCACATTTTACAGGAAGGAAGCATTTAGAAAAGTAAATACAGATTTTTATCCATCTTCTGATTTTTAAAATAAATTATTTCAATTACACTTTTGTTATGCTGCTCTTCTCTGTTTAATCAAGCTCATAGGTGTATTAATGTATTAAATAAATAATTAAAGAGCGTTAATAAACGAGAATTGTAGTAAAATATTAAAAAAATTAATTTATTTTTTAAATGGAAATATTTAAAAAAAATAGCGTGATAGAAGAATACTTAACTGATACTTACGCAATTATATTCTACTTGGAAGAGTAAAAAAGGTGTTTAAAACTGTATTAAAGGAAGATTTTTACACAGAAATTAATTTTTTGTTTGTTATTTTTAATCATTTTCCCAGCAATTTAAGTATATTTTCGTTCATCACAAATGAATTTGATATTCTTACATATTTTTGTCTTAATTTTTAAATTGTTTTCCACATTTTAAAAACCATTTTAAATAATATTCAATAAGCTAAAATAGCCAATTAAAAAATTATTAAAATTTAATATTAATTATTGCTCACATTTCTTATTGTAAAGTAGAAAAAGAATTCAAAGTGAATATTTCTGTATTGCAGAAGGAAAAAGATATATATAGGCCTATATATATTAAATTCCTTCTGAATATAAAAATCTTTCAGATATCTAAATTCAAACATTGACACATCAAAGATTCAAACTTCAACTGTAGAAGTCGAAAGTAAAATAGTAAAAGGAAGAGCTATGTTTAAGTAGCTAGATCACGAATTTTCAAAGCTAACGATATGCAAATACGCCATTAATTCGGGATTGTGTCTAGTTTGTTTAGAAGTAACTAAACTTAAAAACATTTTCTTATTTTTCTCATACATTTTTTTTAATTTTAATTTTAATTTTTATTTTCCAGCAACAAAATCAAAAGTTCGGGATCACTACCACGCTCACCGTTTATCATTTTGGCTATCGTTAATTCCAAAATTGCATAAAGCTAGTGGATCCGAACCTCAGCATCATTTGCTAGAGGATCACGACAATCAAGAAACATACGATGGCATAGTGAGACNTTTTTAAATAAAACAAATTGATACACTTAATTAAGAAGTGATTATAATTAAGAGAAATAAAGAGAATTTCACTTTAAATTCTGTTAATGTACAAGTTTCACTTTCTTTATAGTAATTAATTTTCGAAAGTCATTTATAATAAACGTCTAGACAATATTTATTGTAAGTAATAACGTTTAGGAATGTAAAAAAAAATAATAAGGAAAGGACAATAATAATAAACGAGAGTTATTAAACTGATAAATATTGTTATGAATTTCGATATTAAAAATTTTTATCGACGAAGTATGATTTTGATGATTGTTCTGCCTTTCAGTATAAATGGTTAAATGAGTCTACAGAGTATTTTTATTTATATAAATGAATATTACTCTGTGTAGATGCTGTTCTTGATTACCTTTTCTTGATATAAGAAGTTTCTTCCCTACATTACACTCGAACTTTGTTTTTTTTTAAAAAGAAATATGACGTAGCATTTAAAAGAACATCTAAAAAAACTTTTATTACGGAAGAAAAAATTAAGAAAATAAAAAAAAATATATATAAAATTTTATTTTTATTAATAGACAGTTTTTTTTATGTCTCTACTTATTTTATGTGAGTAGAAAGGAAAGAAATATGCAACACCCCACAACGAGATTGTGAAGTGCTTATTGCAGTAGTGAAGTAGATATTTGCTTTCAATATTTTAATATTTATTTCAAAATTTAATGGTTAAATTATGTTTGAAAATGTTATTTTATATAAATATTTTTGTTTTCACTTAATATTTACTATCTGATTTATAAATATTTTATTTTGATCCACTTTCATTTGCAATTTGTATTGTCGATATGATATTGATTTTTTAATGTATCATACATTATATTTTCTAACGAAAAATAAACTTTTATTTTTCTGTAATATATTGTATAGAATTCTATAGATTATTATTTAATAATTATTATATTAAATACACGTCTATATTTTAAAATAATACATCATTTATGAGTTAGTTTAATTCTTGGAAAGTTATTTTACGCTGATTTATTACAAATTATGCNATACTCATTCAATCAAGAAAATGACTTTTTATTAATTTAATATTTTATGAGTTAATTTTCTGAAAAATTCGTGTGAATTAAATATGAACTGTACTTTTTGTAATGTAATTTTTACATTAGAGTAAGCAAATTTATTTAAATTGAAAAATAGTATATAAAATTATTACTATTTTATTTGAAAGAATCCATATTTTGTGACTTGTTTGAAGTAAGATTGTAGGCCTATATTAAATTGGAGGAACTATGGACAAGTCTCATCATCATCATCATCATCATCATCATCGTCATCATCTGCTTCATCAACAATTTGGATTAAGTCTTAAACCCAGCTTTATTTATATTTAGAATGTTCTTGACCTACTTTTGCGAGGGTCCACATCCATCTCTCTTTCCAAAGATTTATATCCAAAGGCCAATTTCGATAAGCAGTTGTTGTCCATTCTAATTACAGAATCTTTCCATTTTATCTGGAAGGATTTAATGTTATCCACCATATTGTCTACTTCTAGTTTTCTTCTAATATCCAAATTACACGCTGATGTAATTTAGTAAGATGTAGTAATTGTCTGAAAAATTTGATATCCTCATCTTCCAAATTTAGAGCATCTCTTTTAATTAGAGATAGGAACAAATCTTATTAAATAGTCATTATATATTTTGTATTTATTAATGAAAGTTAAGGGGATTAACAATCTTTATTCAACTGGGAAAAAATTTATTGTTCAGAATTTATTCAACTCTAAGCATTGAGATTAGATAAACAATGTCATAAAATAGAATTCTTCTAAACAAACACATGAAATTTGTTCCTTTGAAAAAAGTAAGGCTTACGTTTACTTACAGTTATAATGAGAACATCAGTCTTTTTCCTGAAAGCAGTATATATATATATATATATATATTTTTTTCTTTTTACAGTTTGTTTCACAGCTGGGTGCTACTAAAAAAAACTGTTCTTTCATACTGAAAAAGTTGAGTTTTGGGAGTAGGGTGTGATTACAGTTTCGTACCAATTAAATTTGTTTTTTTGCTGAAATAATATGAATTCTGTTGCAAGAAAGTTTATTTCTACTTGTTTTTCTTTATTCTTAACAAAGAACATCTTGATTGTTACATGTTTTTGTATGGCTTCATTAAAAATGGTTTTAAGTACATAAAAAGTAAAAAGAAATTATATAATAAAATTGTTATATAAATTTGTAAAAGAAATTAACTTTTATAATTATCACTATTAAAAATAAATAGAATTTATTTTAGGACGTTAAATTAAATAATAATAATAATAAAATTCTTATGAAATTAGGTGGTCCTCTGTGATTTACGTAAGATACATTAAAATATAGTTTAATAAAGATTGATTGGTGTTCTTAATGATAATTGTTTGGGAAAAAGTAAAGAAAATCTAAAATTTACATATTTTTTCCTTTATTTTTCATTATTTCAACT